AAGACTTAAAAACACTATCACCCAGTGTGACTTAATTGACATTAATAGAAAACTACATATAACAGCAGCCGAACACATTCTTTTCGAGGGCACATGGAACATTTACTAAGAACATAGTACGGGCCATAAAAGAATCTCATAAAACAAATTCAGAAGTATCTAAATTATACAATGTATGTTATCTGGCCACAATGGAATCAAATTAGAAGCAATAACAGAAAGATCTGGAAAATCTCAAATATTTCAAAATTAACATAAATAATCCTTGGATCAAAGAAAACATTAAAGGGGAAATAAGAGTATTTTAAACTAAATGAAAATATATCAAAGATTTGTGATGCCACTAAAGCAATACTTAGAGGGAAATTTATAGCACTAAAACAACTCTATTAGAAAGGACGAAAGGTCTTCAATAAACCTAAGCCCCACTTTAAAAAACTAGAAAACAGCAAATGAAATGCAAAGTAAACAGAAGAAAAAAGAAGAAGAGCAAACCTTAATATACTGTGGTCAAGTGAAGTTTATCCCAGAAATGCAAGGCTGGTTCACCATTCCAAAATCAACATAATTCACAAAGTATAAACATAGACTAAAGAAGGAAAAAGATGTTTGTCTCAATAAAGGCAAGAAAAGCATCTGAAAAAAATCCGACATCCTCTCCAGATAAAAACTCTCAGCACGCTAGGAACACAAAGGAATCTCCCCAGTCATAGAAGGCATCTTTGAAAGACTAAATGCTTCCTCTAGATCAGGACCAACACAAATATGCCCACTCACGAGTCTGTTCAGAACTGTACTAGAGGTTCTAGACAATGTTACAGGCCAGGAAAAAAAAAAAAAAGAAAAGCCAGATTGGAAAGGAAGGAACTTATTTATTTTGTATACTGTATTTGCAGACATGATCATCTGTGTGAAAAATCTTATAGAATACAAACATAAAAAGCTGCTAGAATGAGTTTAGCAAGGTTGCAGAATAAAAGAGCACATATATAAATAAATTCTATTTTATACAGCAGCAATGAAAAAATAAGAAATAAGTTTACAAAACTTACTTTGTCAATAGTGAGCATTAAAAAACTTGTAGGCTTTAGGGATAAAATGGACAAAAGATTTGCATTACCTTTACTCTAGAATTAACAAACACTGTTGAGAGAAATTAAGGAAGGCCTAAATAATTGAGGAAATATCTCATATTTCTGAGTCAGTGAGTCAATATTGGCAAGATGTCAACTTTCCACAGATTCAATGCAATTCCAATGAAAACCCAGACAGGCTTATGTTCTACAGAAATTTACAATCTAATTCTGAAGTTTGTTTGGAGATAAAGGGACTTAGTCTAAACCATTTTGAAAAATAAGCTGGAGGACCAATACTGGCTTCAAGACGTACTACTAAGTTACAGTAACCAACACAGTAAGTTAGTTCATATATATGTAAGAATGTATATGGCCAATTCATTTTAATAAAGATGCCAAGGCAATTCAATGGAACAATGGGATAGCGAGAAGCAAAAAAAAAACAAGACAAAACTGGACTCTTACACCATATACAAAAAATTACCAATTCAAAATGGGTCGTACCTCAAATAGCCAAAGCAATCTTGAGAAAGAACACAGAGCTGGGGGAACTAGGCTCTGACTTCAGGCTACACTGCGGAGCTACATTAAGCAAAACAGCGTGTTATTGAGACAAAACAGAAGTACAGATCAATGGAACAGGATAGAAAACCCAGAAATAAACCCAAGCACTTAGTCAATTAACCGACAAAGGATGCAGTGGAGAAAAGATAAGTCTCTTCAGTAAGCGGTGCTGGGAAAGCTGGACAGAAAAGCGTGAAATGAGGACGTTCTCTTAACATCATAAAAATAAACTCAAAATGGATTAAAGACCTAAATGTAAGACCAGATACTATAAAACTCTTAAAACAGGCAGAACACTCTGACATAAATCACAGCCAGTATTTTTCTGAATCCACCTCCTAATTAAAAATAAAAACAAATGGGACCTAATTAAACTTAAAAGCTTTTGTCATGAGCAAAGGAAACCATCAACAAAAAGAAAACACAAAAAGGGAGAGAATACTTGCAAACGATGTGACCAACAAGGGATTAACCTCCAAAATAATGACCTGATACAATTCAGTGACAAAAAACAAAAAAACTCAAACAACTCGATTTTAAAAAATGAGAAGACCTGAACAGACATTTTCCCAAAGACATACAGATAGCCAAAAGACACATGAAAAGATCTTCAATGTTGCTAATTAATAGAGAAATACAAATCAAAACTATAATGAGGTATTACACCAGTCAGAACAGCCATCAGAAAGGCTACAAATAATAAAAGCTGGAGAGATGCAGAGAAAAGGGAACCTCCCACACTGTGAGTGGAAATGTAAACTGGTGGCGCCACTAGGGAGAACTTTAAAAAACTACATCTGCAATTTATCGTACGATTTGAAGAGTTCCTTGGACTACACGGAGATCAAACCAGTCAATTCTAAAGGAAATCAATCCTGAATATTCACTGAAGGGACTGATGCTGAGGCTGAAACTCCACTACTTTGGCCACTTGATGCCAAGAGCCAAGTCACTGGAAAAGACCCTGATGCTGGGAAAGACTGAAGGCAGGAGGAGGAGACGACAGAGGACAAGATGGTAGGATGGCATCACTGACTCAATGGACATGAGTTTGAGCAAGCTCACCACTTGAGATGGTGAAGGACAGGGAAGCCTGGCATGCTGCAGTCCATGGGGTCTCAAAGAGTCGGATATGACTGACCAATATGATCCTACAATTCCACTCTTGGCCATATACTCAGACAAAACTAGAATTCAAAAAAATACATGCACCCTAATTATAACACTACAACAGCCAAGACATGGCAGCAACCTAAATGTCCATGAACAGATAAATGGATTAAGATGTGGTACATACATATAATGGAGTATTGCTCAGTCACAAAGCCATTTGCAGTAACATGGGTAGACCTAGAGATTATCATATAACTGGAAGTCAAGGATAACTGTCATATCACTTATATGTGGAATCTAAAAAAAAGATACAAATGAACTTATTTACCAAACAGATAAAAAACTAGAGTATGATTCCACTTGTAGGTAATTTTGGAAAATTCAAACTAGTCTGTAGTGACAAAGCTGACCAGTGATCACCTGGGCATAAGAGGAGTAGCCAGAGAGATTATATATACTTTTTTTTAATGTCAAAAATATCTTTAATTGTAAAAAGTATTAATCTTACTATAATAGTTGAAGAGTTATATTTTTTCTCATAATAGACATTATACTTATACATCTTAAGTGTGCAACTCATAAAGTGTGTATTAAATAGGTTCACCAAACAAGACAAAATATGAACACTGGCTAATAACATGAACAAATGTCAAACAACTTATTTAAAAATAATGCTTTAAGAGAGATTATAAAATATACAAGGTTACACTGTTGGTGGGAATGCAAATTAGTACAGCCACTATGGAAAACAGTGGGGAGATTTCTTAAAAAGCTGGAAATAGAACTGCCATATGACCCAGCAATCCCACTTCTGGGCATACACACCAAGGAAACCAGATCTGAAAGAGACACGTGCACCCCAATGTTCATCGCAGCACTGTTTATAATAGCCAGGACATGGAAGCAACCCAGATGCCCATCAGCAGACGAATGGATGAGGAAGCTGTGGTACATATACACCATGGAATATTACTCAGCCATTAAAAAGAATTCATTTGAATCAGTTCTAATGAGATGGATGAAACTGGAGCCCATTATACAGAGCGAAGTAAGCCAGAAAGATAAAGACCATTACAGTATACTAACACATATATATGGACTTTAGAAAGATGATAACGATAACCCTATATGCAAAACAGAAAAAGAGACTCTGATGTATAGAACAGACTTGTGGACTCTGGGAGAAGGCGAGGGTGGGATGTAAAAAAAAAAAAAAAAAAATACAAGGAAGCTTTTAGGGGCGGTGAGTATTTTCATTATCTTGACTAATGTGGTTTCACGGACATATACATGTCAAATTTTGCCAAATTGTACACTTATTTTTAAAAAGTCATTTGATTTTTCACTGTTGAACCCTTCTGCATATATATAGTGCTATTTTTCAAAGGTTAAACTCGATAATGTCATCACTTTTTTTTTTAATATTTATTCATTTATTTGGCTGCCCCAGGTCTTAGTTGCAGCATGTGGGATCTAGTTCCCTGACCAGGGATCGAGCCTGGGCCCCCTGCATCGGGAGCTCAGAGTCTTAACCACTGGGCCAGCAGGGAAGTCCCAGATAATGTCGTTATTCTTACAGCTAATGAGATATGCATTCATGTATTCTTTTGTTTTAAATTTTACTTTCCAATATGGCAAATATCTATATACATGGAAACGGTGTGCGACAGCAGACTTACACCAGGTCACAAGAGCTAATCACACTGCCAGCTCTGTGTTTTGAGGTGTTATATTGATAGCTTGAATTTGGCAGTAAGTACACCTTGGAAGTTGGGAAATGCGTCCACAGAATCGACTTTCTCAGACTGCTGGTCGTTAAAGATCTATCAACCCATCACTAGCTATAATACACATAAAGAAAAGCTCAATGGAATTCTTCCATTTTAATTGTGTAAAAGGATTCTGAAAACCACTAGGCTAAAAACTTGACTTTATCAAGCTAAAAGTGTTACTAAGGAGAAGGGAAAAAAAAAGAGACTTTCAGACATTCAACCATATTAAGAGAATCTTGCAGCTCACAACTTCAGTTGCCTTGACCAAATTATGCCACTGCCAGGGGGCTCATTATTGAAATGTTTCCCTTCAAACTAGGCGGGGGTGGGGGGGGGGGGGTTAAATCCTTAGCTCCTCCTGAATTTGAAGACCTCTAAGGGTGCCAGGGAGGGCAGGGCTGCCACCTCCTCTAGCAAACATCAAGGGTCCATCCCACAACCACTCACAGACCAAAATGTGACATTAAGATACTGCTCAAAGACCAAGGTTTCTGCATATATTGTATTCCAACTCCAGCAATCAGATAAGAGGTTCACCACACAAATACACTTGTATCAGGTGGATCAACCATCAGGGATACCAGGATCTGATACTTTAATAACTGCTTGAGACAACTTGAACATGAAAGACTTAGAGCCGCCCCCACCCTCCTCCTCCTGCTCTCCGATGCCAGCCTGAGTCCTTTTCGGCGGTTTTATATGGTGGGGAGAATACCAGCATCAGCTCCAGCATCCCAACAGGGCTTCCCTTTCCAGGAAGGGAAAAGGTTGAAATTATTAAAAAAAAAAAATTCCATTAAAGAATTCATAAGATTGTTGATTATCATGTAGAAACATATCTTTCTGTTTCATGACATGTTGGAAACATCAGGATTTTTTGGCCTCCACTGCATAGAGGTCTGATCGCTTCTGGCTAAAAATGGGGATTTGCTGGCGAATTTCAGCCAACTTCTTCAAGTCTGCAAAAACAGAAAAGTGCACTATTAGTAGATGTGATTCCTTACTCACTAACAGGAAATTCTTCCCCAAACAGTATAGAAACAACCAGAGCCAGTAATTTACTCATGGGCCTTGTCTGGAGGCACATTCAGCCTGGCACTGCCCCTGGTGTCATTTCAAACCAAACCAAGAAAACTCAGGCTGAGACAGAGCGCAGGGCTTAGCCAGAGAACCAAGGATAAATGAGGAGGGCGGGGCATAAAGGAGGCCCTCCCTGTTCTACAGCTAGAGAACCTGGCCTCGGGGCAGCAGGGACACCAGACACCTAAACTGGCCCAGGATGAATCTTACCTATATCTGCATACACGATCGTTTCTTCAATGCCAGCTTTGGCGAGGACTTCCCCCCTGAAAAACATCCAGGGGACAATGAGTCAGTTCCCTGATGTTTGCTGTTATTTACTATCTCTTTTTCCTCCCTATCTCACAGGCCAAAGAGGAAGGAATCTGAGATTTAAAACAAGAAAATATGGGCATAAATTCCTGTGATGCTTTTGAACTGTGGTGCTGGAGAAGACTCTTGAGAGTCCCTTGGACTGCAAGCAGATCCAACCAGTCCATCCTAAAGGAGATCAGTCCTGGGTGTTCATTGGAAGGACTGATGCTGAAGCTGAAACTCCAATACTTTGGCCACCTGATGTGAAGAGTTGACTCATTGGAAAAGACCCTGATGCTGGGAGGGATTGGGGGCAGGAGGAGAAGGGGACGACAGAGGATGAGATGGCTGGCTGCCATCACCAACTCGATGGACATGGGTTTGGGTAAACTCCAGGAGTTGGTGATGGACAGAGAGGCCTGGNATCTCTGGCCTCGTGTCTGTGATCCTTGGATCCCTATGCTAACGGCTTTTGGGTTTGGAGGGAAAGATTTCGGCCTATGAGGTCTGAGTAGAAGTGGTAGAACCATGACCCGGCAGGAACCCCACACTGGAAACAACAACACTCCACAAAATCTGAGGAGAAGCTGATTTGGAAAACTATTTCCAATGCTGAGTCTCTTGGCCCAAAACAGGACTTCAAAAACATAGCTGTGGGACTTCCCTGATGGTCCACTGGTTAAGAAACGGCCTGCCAATGCAGGGGACATGGGTGCAATCCCTGGTCCAGGAAGACCCCACCTGCCGCTGGGCGACTAAGCCTGTGCTCCACAACATGTAGCAGCCCCCACCTGCCACAACTAGAGAAAGCCTTCAACCAGCAACGAAGACCCAGCACAGCCAGAACTTAATCATTCGTTTAAAAAACATTATCTGTGAAGTTTATCCAAAGCACAGAACAAAATGATCTGATACAACAAACAACCTGATATAATAATTGGTTCCATCTAGGGCCACAGATTTTTGGCACAATAAGCTACAGACATCATCATTCATGCCGCTTAACTGAATCCTTTTCTAGTCTCTTTCTTCTATTTTTTTCCCCATTTGCCCTGGCATGCAAAGATCTCTATGTTAACCCTAGGCACCTATCACAATGACAAATAAGCCATACAGCTCCCAACCAAATCGGGGAAATTCTGCAAATGAAGAAATAGGGGCAAATCTTATGTAACCAATTGTGTCAAAAGCAGCCAGCCTGATGGGTAAGGGCTCACCAGAACCAGCTGGGGAGCAGAGCCGCCCACAAGGTCAGTGAGCCGATCACTAATGTCTGCAGAGGAACCCACGTCAAGTTTAAGAAAATTCTGAAGCCAATTCGATCCTTCCAGCCTTCCAGTGCACCCCAGATCCTAATGTGCAGGAGGCTCACGAGACCCCCACTGGCCATATCTCCCAAGACCTTCCCCACCACACACGTCCATCTGTGAGTCCTACAAAGTCAGAAGAGAGAAACTCTGGGAACCCCACAGTGACGTGTAAGCCTCTGCAGCCTTGTTACTGATATGTTTATCCTGAAATTTTAGAAGTACATATCTGTGTGTGTGCGCCTGTAATCATACAGACATACTGAGAAGTGGTGTGGAATAAATCTAAGTTCTGAATTCCAAAGTCTTGGCTCCAAACACCAATTCTAGCCACTTCATCCTGTGAACTTCAAGTCTACCATCTCTTAACTGGGCTAAATAAAGATAAGTCCTTGAGAGCTCAAATTGAGATGTGTGTGAAAGTACCATGTAAATTGCACCAATGCCGGTAAGACACGTCTATCACCATATGTTAGCTGTGTGTGTATCTGGGCAGATTCCCGTGCTGATTTCCCTAAGTGATAGAATGCTTTACCCTCTGACAGCGCACAGGTTCACTGTTCCTCTTAATCCAACCCATCCTCCACTCTCCTCTAAGCGTTATTATGCAGGGAGCAAAATCCTTACCCTCAACTCACTCCAGCCCTAGGTCCAGTGACCCGGTCTAAATTTTAACCCAAAGCCAAGAGTTTGGGGGCCTCTTTTACTAAAAAAACCACCCACCCATGACTTCTGCCTCATTTGCAAGTTTGGCTCACAGTGAACGTCACTCAGAAACTCAGAACAGGGCTGAGGCCGAGCAGTCAGGAGAGCTGGGCCACTTCCCTCGCACACGGTTTTCAAGGGGAAGCTCCTCGCACAGAGGGACCTAGTGCCCGGGCAGGCCTGTGGGGAGACGGGAGCAGAGGGAGGCGTGGGGTCACTCCGGAACCAGACACCCCACCTGCCCGAGCACCACCTCTCTCCTCAGCAGGCCTGTCCCTGCAGAGCCAACTCACCAAGGACTCACCACGGTGCTGTGCCCCCAGGCAACATAGGAGGCTTTCTCATCCCGGGCAGGAGATGCCGTGGCCACATACACCTGATTATCAACAGCCCTGCAGTCAACGACAGAAAAGAGGCAAACCAGAGTACAGATCTGAGACGCTTTTATCCCAAGTGTCCGGACCCTTCTTTCAAAAACTATCACAGGACAGGCTGGCTCGGACATGGAAGAAACATTCAAAGCCACAGAACCCTTTCCTCAAAAAGGATCTTACTGCACAAGCTAGTTCTCAACTGGGGCCATTCTGCCCAGCAGGGGACTTCTGCCAGGGTCTGGAGCCATTTCTGACCAGGGCAATCCAGGTGACCAGAGAGAACGGCCTGGCCTCGCTGGGACAACACTCCGAGCAGGGTTGCAGGGCCCTTCCATGCAATGGGGCAGTCCCATCACCTCAAATTGGGCAAGAATTCCAGATGGTAGTGCGGCTACACCAGGCCACCTGACCCACAGCCCTCTGGCCTCAACCAAGATTCATACCAGGTCATTCCCGCTCTCTCCAGCTTTTCCTGCTTTCAACAAAGCAGCATTTATTAATACTCACGGGATCACATACCCCTACCACTTTTCATCATGCAATCAGCCAAACACTCTACATCCTCTTCCAATAAAAACCACTGTCATCTCCAGACGGGAGCCTAGTGGCCACCCCTGGGCAGAGAGGAGAGGACTGACTGGGAAGGAGAAAAGGGGAGTGCTCCAAGGGGCTAGAAATGTTCTAGATTTGATCCTGGTCACAGGTGAATCCATATGTAAAAATTCACTGATCTGTAAACTTAAACTAGTACACTTTTGTGTAAGTATATAATACCTCAATTAAAGAAATCTTTGCGTGAACAACCCATCACCTCTGAGCAGCATGTCGTGGTTTGCAGAGCACTTCACAGTCGCATTCCCGTCCCCTTCTACGTCACACCCACCTCTGCTATCTGCCCTTTGCCACTCCTCGGGCGACTAAGGAAACAGCATCTGTCCCACGCACAGCACAGCCACGCAGCGCTCAGGACTCAGAGGCTAGAAGGACAAGAACCTACCACACGCGTCTTGGCAGAGCACCGAGACTGGCAGGAAACCACGGAGGATGGGGTAGCGTAAGCGCCCCGCCACAGCACAGGGACTGCGGAGTGTGACCGCAGGCCTCCCCTCGGGCTGTCGGCCTAAAGGACCCCTGCCTCTGCCTTGCCTCCAGCCGGGTACACTCCGCGGGTCTCCAATTCTCGCTAAAACCTGCTGGCAACTCTATCAGAGACACAACTCCATATCTGAACACAGGAAAACCAAATGACTGCCCGCTTGATGCAGTGAACGCTCCTGGAGATGCAGACATCAGTCCTCAAAGTCCACAGGCTGGTGCTGTGGCTTCCGAGGAGGAGCCCACAGCAGACGCCCTCCCCTCGGACGGGAAGACAAAGAGTCAGTCGCCTTTGGGAGCTGCCTCCGGGGGCCAGGGCGGCCTGAGTCAGAGGCAGCATTCTGTACAGGAAGGCTGATGCTTCCACTTAACCGCAAACATTTTCGCAGAGAAACACTGAGACGCTTTCTTACCGGCCTCGCTGAAGCAACTCCCAGTGGGCTGGCCCGGTGGTCAGATTAAAAGCTCCAGGATACACCAGCAGNTAACCGCAAACATTTTCGCAGAGAAACACTGAGACGCTTTCTTACCGGCCTCGCTGAAGCAACTCCCAGTGGGCTGGCCCGGTGGTCAGATTAAAAGCTCCAGGATACACCAGCAGCTGGCAGCCTTGGGGTGAGAAAGGCCAAAGAAGACGGAGGCAGGTGGATACCCAAACACATTAGCCCTCCCTCTGCTCCTTACCTAGCGGGACCAAACTCAAACTCCCCCAATGTGAACAGATTCAGCAGTTATGGATGGCTCGGAATTTCTCTGGAGACACACACACAACACATACACACAAGTACAGTGATCCTGACAACCACTTTTCAAGCAAAGGTGACTTTGCTTGAAAAACGCAGAGAGTCTGTCATTCAGACTTCTCTCAGCACCATGTGGACGGCTCCCAGGGTCAAGGACCATGTTCTGTGACGTTCATCAGCTGAAATGAGAAGACGAACGGCTCTGCTTCTCACAGCTAAGACTCCACGGAGACAGCCAGTCTGGAGCCCCTGCCCCGCCGCCCTTGCCGAGCAGGGTGTCAAACCGTCTGCTCCCACTTCACTTTACAGTGACACAAGAACTAGGGTCAGAGTATCTCTGGCAGTCTAGTAAGGATGCTAGTACTGTTGAGTATCATATGAGGAGCTTTGAAAGTTCTCTGTCTGTAATCCTCACATCTTTCCTATGAGAAAACGGAGACCCACAGTTCTCCAGAGATTGATTTACCCAAAGCACTGGGTCAATTAAGGGGCAGAGCTGGAACCAAAACCCAGGACTTCTCCTCTGACCTGTGCTTCTCCAGGTCGGCAGGATGGTCCTCTGGACGGAAGTGGCACTGACTACCTTTCTGCTGTTCCCAACATCGAGGGCGAGTGAGTGGTGAAAGCCACGTGCATGCAGACCTACTGCTGGGGCCCAAGTGCCTCTCCAAACACGGCAGGAAGGGCTCCAGTGGCGGAGCAGGCGTTTAGTTTAGGAATGTGGCTCCTGCGTTAGCTGTGCAGTATGTTCAACCACAACCTCCGGAAAGCCACACCGCCCATTTGCAGAAGCAGTCTGAGAACTCACACAGATGTGGAGATTAAGACCTCCTCTAGGTTTTCTGACCAAGGACTCCCTCCACCCGCAAAGCCCAGAGCCAACCAATCTCCGAGCACCTACATGACCTGACCCAAGGCAGCCTCACCTCTCTGTGCGTAGATCTGCGCCAGCTCTGCGAAGCGGATGTCGTAGCAGATGCCCAGGCCCACCCTGCAGTAAGCTGTTCTCCAAACAGAAAATGTACAAAGTTAAATCTGAAGCAGGCGCGGCCAGGGAAAGTCTCCAAGATCCAGTGGTCACAGAACACTGGCGGGAGTACATGCATGCAGGGCCCATGGACGGAGAGAACGTGTAAGTTTACTCCTGCGTGGATTTTGCCTCGTGAGAACATCATTTACGTCAGTAGAGCAGAAATGAGAAATTCACTCTAATTATTAATAAATGTTTCTTATCTAAGTGGGAGGGGTTCAGTCATGGCCTAACAGGTACAGGCCGGAAGCTATCACGCTAATAAAGGCTGTGACCAGTGGGAAAGCACAATCATGTCAAACCCTTAGTTCTCCATTAAATCCCCCGCTTTCTAGACCTCGGACCATTCTCTGCCCTTCTCCCCCCCGGCCTTGCAGTCAGCCTTCTGTAAAGAAGTTGGGAAGCAACATAATGAGAAACAAAGGACTACCTGATCCTGGTCTACTGGTCCTGCTGAAAGGGGAGAATCTATCTGGTACGTACGAGTATCAAAGACAGAGAAACTATCACCAGGACTCAGTGTTTCCGATTCTTGAAACGTGATTTTCCCAGGAACATCAATGTCAAACAGGTGGAGCTGTGACACAAATAAAGGATTCGGTTACCTCCTTTCCAGCAGGGCTCATGGCAGTAACAACAAACACCTTTCCATGGCCAGCCATGGGGGTGTTCTAAAATCAACTGTGCAAAGGGCAGCCCCAACCTGCCCACAACCCACTCCACAAGCTGACTGACATCCTATGTAAATGACTTCTAACACAGGGAACTGGAAAAGTCATGCTGTAGGTTGTATGATCCTTCTTCCCTTGGTGGTGTGCAAATCACCACCTAGATTTCTTACAGAAAGCAATTAACATGCTGCTTTTTTTACTCAATATAAATGCTAAATGAAGACTTCTCGGAAGCAGAATTAACTTGACACATTGGCAAGGAGAGTGGGCGAGTGACCAAAAAGAGGCAGTTTTCTAAACCCAATGCAGCAATATATTAAAAAGTCTAACTTCCAAACTGGATTTATTCAAAGAAAGCAAATGTGATTTAATATTTGAAAAATCAAAGTGATTTACCACACGAACATAATAAAGGGGAAAAGTCACATGATCATCCTAAGAGGTGTATAATGAGCATCTGGTAAATTTCTACATCCATTCTTACTCAAGCCTGGCATGCTGCAGTCCATGGGGTCGCAGAATTGGACACAACTGAGTCACTGAACAACATTCTTATTTAAAAAATAAAAGAGAAAAACTCTTCTGGGATGGGAACCCCTTTAATCTGACAAAGAGAATCTGCAAAAAAAAAAATCTAAAGAAACCTATTTAAAGGTGAAACATTAAAACCCTTCTTCTGTTGAGACCAGGAACAAGGTAAATACACCTGCTATTCGACACTGGACCAAAGGTCCTAACCAAAGCAACAAGGAGAAGGAAAAGGATAAAGAGGGTAAAGATTAGAAAGAAAAAATTAAAAGCCATTATCCTCAGATAATAACTGTGTACCTAAGGACTGTCAAAGGACATACACAGGTGAATTATTAGAATGAATGAGTTTAAGCAAGGGTATTATATACAAGGTCAATATTTTAAAAATTTGCTGTATGTCTCCTGTAAGACCAGCTTTCTCACAGGTAACCCTGAACTCTGGACAAAACAAAACAAAAATACAACTACTTAAAAGCACTTGAAAATAATCAAAATCAGGCAAAAATTAGAGAGAAGTCAACTTCTGGAAGACAGGATCTAGTGTTGGGTCAGCTTCCCATTTGTTTACAACTCTTATTTGGAAGCAAGGCCCCAGCTGTTGCCAGGAGTGGTGGTGACAAAGACCCACCAACACACCAGCCAGGGACTCAGAGGACAGAGCTTCACAGCAGCTGGAAAGTGAGGGGGAAATACTTAAAAGGAGAAAGCAAAAGAAGAGCCCTAAATTTTACATATAAAACCTGTCCAAATCTCTGAGTAACCAATGCACTAAAGGTGTCTGGGGCAGACTCTGAGCAGCCCAGCTAAAGCTAAACTTTACAACAGGCGGAGCAGCTGCGCTGCCACCCACCTCACCAAGGAAGAGTTTGGTCAGGAGTATGCCCCAACTCCCCACCTGCTCAAACAAAAAACTCAACACTTTTCGGGAGAATGCAATAGAAGTTAGAGTCTCAACAACATATAATCCAATATACAATCCAAAAAATTGGACACACAGAGGTATGAGCCAAACTCTGGGAGAAAAGGCAGCAATGGAACAGACCCGGTAAGACCCAGATGTGATCGCTACCAAAGACGATAAAGCAGCCACTGAAACTAACCTCAAGAAAGTAAAGAAACTGATGCTCGTAACAAATAAACAAAGAGGAAACTCAGGGGAGAATAAAAGCTGTAAAAAAGAGAATGAAATAAAAATGTGAGAAATGAAAAATACAACATCTGACATTTTTAGAAATTTCACTGGATTATAGGAGACGGGAGATTACAGAAGACTCAGTGAACATGAAAGGTCAATGGAAAACATGCAATCTGAAGAAGACAAAGTGCTGCAAAACAGAAATAGAAAACCACAGCCTTGGTGACCGGGTTTGGTGAACAGTATCAAAATTGGGGTCCCATAAGAATCTGAGAATGGGACAGAAAAATATCTAATACTTATTGAATATTTCATTCTAACAAGCTCTGCCTTTTAACTGGAGTGGTCACTCTATGGTTAATGCTCCCAAGTTTCCCAAATATAGTGAGAAACTAAAGTTACACATTAAAGAAACACAAAGCAGGACAGATACAAAAAAAAAAAAAAAAAAACAAACTTGTATCAGGAATATAAGAGTCAAAATACTGAGAACTAAAGATTATGAAAAGACCTTGAAGGCAGGTTGAGAAAAACACGAATTACATGCAGGAGAAGAATACAAATCACCACTGACTTCACACGTGTGCGCACGCTCAGTTGCTTCAGGCATATCTGACTCTGCAACCCCATGGACTGTAGCCCACCAGGCTCCTCTGTCCATGGGATTCTCCAGGCAAGAACACTGGAGTGGGTCACCATACCCTCCTCTGGGGGATCTTCCCAACCCAGAGATGGAACCAACATCTCCTTCATTGGCAGGCAGATTCTTTTACCCACTGAGCCACCTGGGAAGCCCTCCTGACTTTGTATCAGGGGGGAAAAAAAGAGGCCAGAAGATAACTGAATAATGAATAATGCCTCTCAAACATCTGAGGGAAAAAAGAAAACTGTCAACCCAGAATTCTATTCCACCAAAAACATCTTTTAAGAATGAAGGCAGAGACTCCCTGGAGGTCCAGTGGCTAAGACGTCACCTCCCACTGCAGGAGGCTGGGGGTTCGACCCCTGGTCAGGGAGCCAAAACCCCACATGCCTTTTGGCCAAAAGACCAAAACGTAAGCAACAGAAGCTATACTGCAATCAATTCAAAAAGATTTTAAAAACAGTCCACATCAAAAATATCTTTTAAAAAATGGCCAAGTGAGCAGGAGGAGAAAAAGGGGACTCAAGAGGAGCGAGACAGATCTACGCAGTTATCTGTTCCCAAAGTGTTCTCCGAAAAAAAAAAGAAAAAAAAATGGCCAAGTGAAGATATATTCATAAATAAATCTGAGAGAATTCATACCTAGCATATGCTCACTTCAAAATGCTAAAGGAGGTCTTTTTGTTTGAAGGTGAACATACCAGACAGAACTAAGATCTTCAGGAAGAAAAGAAAAATACCAGATATGGTAAACAGTGGGGTAAACATGAAATATTTCTCTTAATTTCTTTAAAATGCAAATGACTATTGAAATTATAAATTAGTATTTTGTGGGATTTATAATGTATATAGAGGCAATATGTATGACAACCACAGCATAAAGAATGGACCAATATAATTGCAAGGTTCATAAATTTTACATGAAGAAGCAGATTATTAACTAAGAAGCCTATGACAAGATAAACTGCATATATTGTAATCCCTAGGGCAACAACTTAGGGGAAAAAAAAGCAAACTATTACTCAACTCAAAAGAATGCAAGAAAGAGGAACAAAGGGAAACAGTAATTAAATGTCTACATGCTTAAAATCCAATCATATCAATAATTACATTAAATATAGAGTGACCACTCCAGTTAAAAGGCAAAGGTTGTCAGAATGAAAAAAGACCCAACTACATGCTGTCTGCAATAGAAGCATTTAGATATAAAGAGACATCCAGATTGCAAATAGATTAGAAAAAGATGTACCATACAAACAGTAATTAGAGGAAGGCTACAGTGGCTTTACTAATATCAGAGATAAACGTCAAGGCAAACAGTATACCAGAAAAAAAGGACATATCATAACGACAAAAGGATCAATTTACCAAGAAGACTTAACAGTCCTAAGTGTATGTGCATGCATTACCACTGCAAAGATGTCAACTCTCCCCTAGGTGATCACTATATGTTTAACACCATCCTAATCAAAATTCTTGTAGGTTTTTCCTGACCAAAATTGATAGGCTGAGTCTACAATTTATATCAGCAGGCCAACAGCCACGTATAACCACCTGTGCCAACTAATCCAGTGTCTGATGTGTGTACCACAGGGCGGGTCCTGGGAACCTCAGCGCGAATTCTCCATCGGCAGTGAGACCTGCACATCCTCTGCCTACCTTTCTGTGCCTCACCAGCAAAGCTCCGTCAGGCCCAAACACGGCACAGGTGTTATACAGCCTCCCAGCATCCTCTTCAGGAATGGACCCTTTTGTAGAGAAAGAAACACAGAAAGAGACACAGAGAGACACAGAAAACATTCTGAATGAAGCATCCTTTCATAACAGGACAGAGCCTTGTTAAAGTTTACTATCTTCCTGGGTCCAACAATAAAGTTTATTGTCTTCTAGGGGTTATTTAATGATTTTTTTCTTCTTGAGTACCATTTTTCAGAGACCAACTTCAGAGTGTGGGTGAAATGTAATTAAGTCAGAGGCCAAAGAAAGGTTTTAAAACTAATCAAACTATTCTTCAGTTCAGCTTTGCTCTTGAGCAACACTTAACCTGAAGCATTAGTGCAACACAGGGAACTCACAGTTGCTCAACTTAAATCCACCAGGTTCTGCAACATAACTGTATCCAAAAAGGCCTTAACGTGGGAAGGAATGCCAGTGTTTCCATCACTAAATATGGTGCCTGTCGTTCCATCTCTGCTTGCTCTGCCCTCTTTTCTCTACCCCTTATTTATATCTAATTCTCACTCTATAAGAATACAGAAATAATTTTGCTTACTGTATTAAACAGAGTTTTACTGTATTTTTATGTAAACAAATAGAACATTTTTATTTAAACAAGCCACATAAATAAAGCTACTTTTTAAAAATTATAGTTGATTTACAATATTACACTAGTTTCAGGCATACATCATAATGATCCAAATTTTTTTCAAACTGCACTCCATTTAAAAGTATTACAAAACGGTTGTTTTATTTCTGAGTGCTGCACAATATGCTCTTGTTACCTATTTATTTTATACATAGTTGTTTCAATCTCGTCCCATCCCTAACTCCCCATCCCCTTTTCCCTCTCCCCACAGGTAGCCACTAGTTTGTTCTGTGAGTCTGTCTCTGTTTTATTACATACATTCGATTGTTTTCTTGTTTTAAATCTCACATGTAAATGATAGCATACAGAATTTGTCTTTCTCTGACTTACTTCACTAAGCCTAAAACTCTAAGCTACCTTCGATGTCAGTGGTCTCTTTATGGGGGAAATAAAAAGAAATTCTTAACACTGAATTAAAGACTTTCAGATACAGTTTTTCTTTCCACATTTCCACCTGCCCTTGTACCCCCAGAGAATATTTTCAGCCATTTGGTGTGTGTCCTTGTACAATATTCACTATGCCTTAATAAATAAATACATATAAAAATACACAGCCTTTTATGTGGATCATTAATCTATAGGGAAGGACCTGTTCACTTCATACCAAACTTGCTCGTTTCCCACCAAAGTATGTCTTGAAGATCCCTCCACAATCCTATAGACAGATCTACCTCATTGTGTTCAATGGCTAATTTGTATTCCATGGTTCAAATGTAACAATAGTTTCTCAGAAGTTTTTTTAGGCCATTATACCTTGAAGGTAGGGAAGTTACCTCCAATGACATATATGCTGCACTCCTTTGCCACTTCAGAAAGCTTCTGTGTGGAGTCACCAGGAATTTTCTCTGCATATTCAGGAAAATACTTTGTGCCATATGGAGAATTAAAGCATTCCTAGAATAATGTTGGAAGAGAAAAAAGTTGGGGGGGGAATCAAACTTATTTTAAAGTTCTGCTGTAAAAAGACATAGTTCTCAAAGAGGTAAAAAAATACAACTGATAAGAAAAACACAGACACCTTAGGCTAAAGCCAGGACTCGGCCCCAGGCTCAGATGGGGCTGGAGTCTGTGCTCAACCAGAAGCTGTCACCTTGGCAAAAAGCTGCACGTGTCTCTCCCTGAATCCACAGCACCACGCCTCCCCAGCGTCGGGCACCCAGGACCCACGACCACCGGGCTTACTCACAGGATTGGAGGTGTTAAGATGAATGCCGAGTCTCAAAACTATTATTAACTATGTAAAGCAATAAAGCCTGTGTTTTTTAAAAAATACAGAAGCTGTGAAACCCACCGAGGTTAAGACATTTCCTCGGGTATATGGGGGACACGAGGGGATGGTTCTAAGCTCCCCTCCAGCGCCATCATTCTGATCCTGCAAACTCTGTCACTCCCCTGAATGTGTCTCAACAGCTCAGCGATAAAAGAAAGCTCATGGAATTTCACCTCCAGTTCATTCATTTACATTCACTGAGACTGCTTGTCTGTGCTAGGAAACTCAAGGCCGAGGATCACCAGCTTGCAGAAGACCCGTTAGGTCCAGGGGACACATGCAGAATTCAAGTGCTTTCACTCCGAGCCTTTAGGCTCTGACCCCCAGCAACCTAAACCAGCAAGAGGCCATGACTGGATACAAGCAAGGGTGAGTCCCACCACTGCAGCGACATGAAGACCTCAAGCGCCCCTGCTGATGACTCCTGTTCACTGGCCTCACTGGTACACGGCCCCCGGAGCCTAGAATATCAATACAAGCTAGCCCTGAAGAGTCTCCAGGGCTTGCAGAGGGCTGCCTCCTCCCCACCATAAGGGCAGGGACGGCCAGAAACAGTTCCACCGCTCACCCCTGCAGGCCTCTGCCAGCAGAAGGGGCCGGGAGGTGCATCTTCTGACCAGTGCAGGACTGTCCGTGGGGCTGACCCTGTACCTGCTGACAAACAAACGTGGCCCCATCTTCAGCTGATTCTGTTTTAAACAGGTCACCTAGCAAAGCAATGCAGCATCTTTTGGCTCACTACATAACTACAGGCTTCCTAACAATTTTAACAATTTTCAACAATTTTTTTAAAAATGTTGGAAGCTCAGTGCTAAAATCAATGTCCTGGTCTCATGAAGACTAGATTATCCAAGCAGAGAAGATAAGTACCTGAGGCACTGAGTATTCTGGATTTAGGTAAGTCCCTCTGACTCCGAGGCTTCTGAACCAAGCAGGTGACCTAAAGTTAAAGACCTGTCACCAAGCTGGCACGTCCTATCACAAAGACCCTTGCTAGGTCACCTTCCATATGGACGAGGAACCATCCTGGGGTCCAAAGGGAGTAAGCAGACACCACAGTACTGGGACGACAGTGCTCGGAAAAGGGGTGGCCACCCCAGACTTACAGGCAGGGAGACTATCTGGGCTCCTTGCTTCGATGCCTCCCGGATGAGGCCACAGGCTCGAGTGAGGTTCTCTGACTTGATGGAAGACACCTGAAGCTGGATGACGGCCAAGCGGAAAGCTGAGGAGGAAGACAGAAGAGAAGAGCGGTCAGATCTGCCTGCTGACTCAGACAGAGCAGCAGTTCTCAACGGAGGGTAAGTCTGACCCCCAGGACACGTGGCAGCGTCTAGAGACACTGCTGATGGCCACGACTGCTGGCGTGCTACTGGCTATATCCAGTGGGCAGAGGTCAGGGACACTGCCAAACGTGCCACAAGGCATATGACAGTCCCTGATGACAAAGAATTATCCACCCTGGGTTGGAAAGATTCCTTGGAGGAGGGCAGGGCAGCTCACTCCAGTACTCTTGCCTGGAGAATCCCATGAACAGAGGAGCCTGGCAGGCTACGGTCCACTGGGTTGCAAGGAGTCAGATACAACTTAGCGACTAAAACAGCAGCAGTAAACATCAACAGTGCTGGGCTTGAACAGCCTTGAGACAGAGCCACAACCTGAGCAAAGCCTACTCCAGGCTCAGGAATCTGAAGTGAAGCCAAACTGATAAGAAAAACACAGACACCTTAGGCTAAAGCCAGGACTCGGCCCCAGGCTCAGATGGGGCTGGAGTCTGTGCTCAACCAGAAGCTGTCACCTTGGCAAAAAGCTGCACGTGTCTCTCCCTGAATCCACAGCACCACGCCTCCCCAGCATCGGGCACCCAGGACCCACGACCACCTGGCTTACTCACAGGATTGGAGGTGTTAAGATGAATGCCGAGTCTCAAAACTATTATTAACTACGTAAAGCAATAAAGCCTGCGTTTTTTTAAAAATACAGAAGCTGTGAAACCCACCGAGGTTAAGACATTTCCTCGGGTATATGGGGGACACGAGGGGATGGTTCTAAGCTCCCCTCCAGCGCCATCATTCTGATCCTGCAAACTCTGTCACTCCCCTGAATGTGTCTCAACAGCTCAGCGATAAAAGAAAGCTCATGGAATTTCACCTCCAGTTCATTCATTTACATTCACTGAGACTGCTTGTCTGTGCTAGGAAACTCAAGGCCGAGGATCACCAGCTTGCAGAAGACCCGTTAGGTCCAGGGGACACATGCAGAATTCAAGTGCTTTCACTCCGAGCCTTTAGGCTCTGACCCCCAGCAACCTAAACCAGCAAGAGGCCATGACTGGATACAAGCAAGGGTGAGTCCCACCACTGCAGCGACATGAAGACCTCAAGCGCCCCTGCTGATGACTCCTGTTCACTGGCCTCACTGGTACACGGCCCCCGGAGCCTAGAATATCAATACAAGCTAGCCCTGAAGAGTCTCCAGGGCTTGCAGAGGGCTGCCTCCTCCCCACCATAAGGGCAGGGACGGCCAGAAACAGTTCCACCGCTCACCCCTGCAGGCCTCTGCCAGCAGAAGGGGCCGGGAGGTGCATCTTCTGACCAGTGCAGGACTGTCCGTGGGGCTGACCCTGTACCTGCTGACAAACAAACGTGGCCCCATCTTCAGCTGATTCTGTTTTAAACAGGTCACCTAGCAAAGCAATGCAGCATCTTTTGGCTCACTACATAACTACAGGCTTCCTAACAATTTTAACAATTTTCAACAATTTTTTTAAAAATGTTGGAAGCTCAGTGCTAAAATCAATGTCCTGGTCTCATGAAGACTAGATTATCCAAGCAGAGAAGATAAGTACCTGAGGCACTGAGTATTCTGGATTTAGGTAAGTCCCTCTGACTCCGAGGCTTCTGAACCAAGCAGGTGACCTAAAGTTAAAGACCTGTCACCAAGCTGGCACGTCCTATCACAAAGACCCTTGCTAGGTCACCTTCCATATGGACGAGGAACCATCCTGGGGTCCAAAGGGAGTAAGCAGACACCACAGTACTGGGACGACAGTGCTCAGAAAAGGGGTGGCCACCCCAGACTTACAGGCAGGGAGACTATCTGGGCTCCTTGCTTCGATGCCTCCCGGATGAGGCCACAGGCTCGAGTGAGGTTCTCTGACTTGATGGAAGACACCTGAAGCTGGATGACGGCCAAGCGGAAAGCTGAGGAGGAAGACAGAAGAGAAGAGCGGTCAGATCTGCCTGCTGACTCAGACAGAGCAGCAGTTCTCAACGGAGGGTAAGTCTGACCCCCAGGACACGTGGCAGCGTCTAGAGACACTGCTGATGGCCACGACTGCTGGCGTGCTACTGGCTATATCCAGTGGGCAGAGGTCAGGGACACTGCCAAACGTGCCACAAGGCATATGACAGTCCCTGATGACAAAGAATTATCCACCCTGGGTTGGAAAGATTCCTTGGAGGAGGGCAGGGCAGCTCACTCCAGTACTCTTGCCTGGAGAATCCCATGAACAGAGGAGCCTGGCAGGCTACGGTCCACTGGGTTGCAAGGAGTCAGATACAACTTAGCGACTAAAACAGCAGCAGTAAACATCAACAGTGCTGGGCTTGAACAGCCTTGAGACAGAGCCACAACCTGAGCAAAGCCTACTCCAGGCTCAGGAATCTGAAGTGAAGCCAGCAGGGCCGGCCTCTCCCGTACAAGGAGAGAGATCAGGCTTCAATAGGGAACTATCCCTTATCCTGTGACCTCGGGCCCTGGTCCATCCGCAGTCCAGCAGGTGAAGCCTCTCTGGCAGTCCCCGCCCCACCGTGAACCCGAAGGAAGCCGCCACGCCTAGCTAAGCGTCCCCATCGCCAGCCGGGACACGGTGCATCGGTCCAGCCACTGGCGGACGGGGAGCCTGGCAGCCGGTGGGCCGCACACGTGCCACAGAGGGGGGCCCTGGGAGGGCCTGCCTGCCCCCCGTGAATCTCCCGGTGCCCAGAGGAGCACACCATTAAGTAGCAAAAGAAAAGCACCATGAAAGACTGAACACTGTGGAAGGAAAACCAAACAGCACTTCCTGCTGTCTGAACTAGGGGCTCCACATTTTCATTGGAGACCGAGTCCCACAAATCACGCAAGCAGACCTGCCGTCAGCCTGGGGGCAAGGTCACCGGTTCCCCCAGGCTTGTTCCTTTCTTGAGGCTGTCACCACATCCAACACATGCTTTTCCCATAGAGCTCTCTTTTAACTCTTACAATAATCACCTTTACTGGTTAACAGTCCTCTATATAAATCTTTTCCTGTTCAAGTGACTAGTGTGGTTTCCCGCCTGGACACTTACTGACAGTTTCCGCTCATGGTCTTGATAGAAGACTACATTAAAGATTCCCAACCAAGATATAACCCACAAAGCTCTGCAGAACTTCCGGAATTATCTGTAATGGCCTGGCCTTGCTTCCCCACCCCAACTCTGCTGTGGCGTCTAAAATCCCACCCTCAGTGACTTCCCTCTCCAAGTATCTCTCCTGTACCTGTAAAAACATCCCCAGGGAAGCAACACTGACAGACCCTGGCCTTTGATGAAGACCTGTTTGGCTCAGGGTTAACCCTAAAAATAGGAAAACTCAATGTCCATTGCTTGTTGTTGTGGTTCAGTCGCTCCGTCATGTCCGACTCTTTGAGACCCCATGGACTGCAGCAGGCCAGGCCTCCCTGTCCATCACCAACTGTTGGAGCTTGCTCAAACTCATGTCCATTAAGTCGCTGATGCCATCCAGCCATCTCATCCTCTGTTGTCCCCTTCTCCTGCCTTCAATCTTTCCCAGCACCAGGGTCTTTTCAAGTGAGTCAGCTCTTCACATCAGGTGGCCAAAGTATTGAGCTTCAGCCTCAGTATCAGTCCTTCCAATGAATATTCAGGACTGATTTCCTTTAGGATGGACTGGTTGAATCTCCTTGCAGTCCACAAGACTCTCAAGAATCTTCTCCAAAACCACAGTTCAAAAGCATCAATTCTTAGGCACTCAGCCTTCTTTATGGTCCAACTAGCAAATCCATACACGATCACTGGAAAAACCGTAACTATGACTATTTGGATGTTTGTTGGCAAAGTAATGTCTCTGTTTTTTAATATGCTAAGTTTGTCATACCTTTTCTTTCCAAGAAGCAAGCGTCTTTTAATTTTATGGCTGCAGTCACCGTCTGTGATGCTTTTGCAGCCCAAGGAAATAAAGTCTGTCACTGTTTCCATTGTTTCCCCATCTATTTGCCATGAAGTGATGGGGCTGGGATGCCATGATTGTAGTTTTTTGAATGCTGAATTTTAAATCAGCTTTTTCACTCTCCTCTTTCACCTTCATCAACAGGATCTTTAGTTTCTCTTCACTTTTTGCCATAAGGGTGGTATCATCTGCATATCTGAGGTTATTGATACTTCTCCCAGCAATCTTGATTCCAGATTCTGCTTCATCCAGCCCGGCATTTTGCATGATGTACTCTGCAGAAAGTTAAATAAGCAGGGTGACAATATACAGCCTTGATGTCCATTCCTTGGTTTCTCCTAAATACAATGAGAAGAACTAAACCGAACCTGGAACGCAGCTTGTCAAATAGTTTCACAGAATGGATGAAAACAAAGCAGGAAACAAAAGCTGGATTGATTACTTTGGGGCAAACAGCCCGAGCTGTCACCAGAACATCACAGACCCCATGAAGTCCCCACTGTAACTGAGAGATGGCGCTTTGTCTCTGCTTCTGCAGGAGGATAAGCTGAGATCCTCCACGGCTCGCTGATGGCTTCCTCTCCCCGCTCCCACCCGGGAAGGACGCTGTCCAGGACCAGGGTGGGGTCTGGCCGCCATCGTGCAAAACACCCACTCCACAGAGGGGCCAGGGCAGGACAGTTCCACCACTGCAGAGTTCCTTGAGGCAGAGGACGCGACCCTCGTCACTTCCTCTCAACTGCAAAACGAACACACTTTTCACTTTCCGGTCCCTAGTAGTCGTGTTGGTCACTCAGCCGTGCCCATCCCTTTGCAACACCCACGGACTGTAGCCCACCAGGCTCCTCTGTCCGTGGGATTTTCCAGGCAACAACACTGGAGTGCGTTGCCATTTCCTTCTCCAGAGGATCTTCCCCACCCAGGGACTGAACCCAAGTCTCCTGCGTTACAAGTAGATACGTTACCGTCTGAGCTACAGGGAAGTCATCAGGTCCCTGACTATACTATACTAATCCTTGATTGTTAGATTGCAATGACTAGTTCATGTCCCTGGCTATACTAACATTCACTGTAATTTGACAATCAAGGACTCACCAAGGGGAAGGATAAAATATCTTAAGCAAAGAGACCAACAGGGAAACAGCATAGGGAACGCACAGGTCTTTTACACACATAAGCATCTGTGGGTTATCGTTGGTGGTATTTTGTAGATGAAGAAATAAGAGGCTTGCAGAGGGAAAGGTCCAAGAAACCAGTCAAAAAAGTAACTGGCACAGCCACATTCAAGCTAAAATCTGCACTGCAGACAGGAGGAGCGCCTTGTTTGTTTCTGGGTGGGTGGGGGAAGTCGTGTAACTTGAAAACACTCCTCAACAGAGTCAGATCAATGCTGCCCTCAACCCCTCCAAGAACCACAGCTCTTCAGTTCATTAGTCTCTTCTGAAAGATACAGTCTCATTCAGAAGGCGGTGTGTAAAAGGACTTCTATACTCCAATCCTAGAGGTTGATTCAGGCACCAGCTTGCACTGCACTCCAGGATGCTGAAATGAAAATCAGACGGCACTCCCACAAACACTACCACCTTGAGAGAGCCTCGCAAGACCTCAGTAGGAACAGTTTATGTTCATTTTAAAGAAGGGAAACTGAGGTCCAAAGCGATCAAATGACTTGTTGACATGGGCTGCGCCAGGACTGTAATAATCCAGGTCTCCAGGCTTTTAAAGCCCAGAGCACTCTACTGCCTCCAGTAAAAGAATCAGGCACAGACTTGGGAACAGAGCCAGAACCTCATCCCTGGGGCTGATCCTGAGTGGGGATGCGTAAGCAACACGTGACACAAGCGTGCTCAGCTGTGTCCGACTCTATGGACCCCGTGGCCTGTATCCCACAAGGCTCCTCTGTCCCTGGGATTTCCCAGGCAAGAATACTGAAGTGAGTCGCCATTTCCTTCTCCAGGGGATCTTTTCCACCCAGGGATCAAACCTGCCTCTCCTGCATAGGCAGGTGGATTCTTTTACTTCTGAGCCACCTGGGAAACCCCCAAGAAACATGTTAATACCTAACCTGAAAGTTCAAGGTCCAGGCGCAGAAACAAACTGCCCATTTTTGTTGCTGTTTTTCCAGAGAAGGCGGCATGGCCCAGTGGGTGTGAGGGGGGCGCAGTGTGGAGCAAATTAACGAGTTCACTTACCACACAAGCCCGAATCAAAGAAAACAGGCGCTTCATTTTCCCCTGACAGGGCTCAAACCACAAATAATCAGGGTTGCTGCCTTTGCAAAACCCAATTCAAACCAGTCTAAAACTAGCAGCAACCTCCAGGAACCCCACGGGACAGACGCTCACACTTGAGGTTCGTGAGCACTGAAAGCTTTACTGAAAGTGCACAGTCTTCGGGTCGTGGAGCGGGCGGGGGTGGGCGGCAGGGAATCCGAAGACCCGCTGGGAGGGTGCGGAATTTGCATTCGAAACAAGCACCCTTCCCGCGCCGATGATCCGGAACGGACCGGCCCGGAACGCTCGTGGACTCTGCCTCACGTAAGGGGCGGGGCCAAGCGGCGCGTCCGGGGGGCGGGGCTTCATCGCCCGATGCTCCGCCTCTCGCCCCGCCCCGTCCCTGGGCCTTTTGACTGGGCTCAAAGGTTGTCTTCTTTCCAGCGCGCCTCAAATACCTGTTAATCTCTTGCTGTTTCAGTAACATCCTCCTAGTCAGATACAGAAAGGCAAGGGACAACCTAAATCGGGGTGGTGTGCTAGTAACTGTTTAACAACCGGCCTCGCCGAGTCTCAGCGAAAGGACTGAAGCTCTTGCTAGTTGAATCACGTCTGTGGCCAGGGGACATACCTTATATGTTGTTCGGTCGCTCAGTCGTTCGTGGCCGATTGTGACCCCATGGACTGCAGCAGGCCAAGTTCCACTGTCCCCCTGTCTCTCCTGGAGTTTGTTCAAATTCATGTCTAATGAGTTGGTGATGCTATCTAACCAGATTGCCTTGGGGGATTTGAACAAGTCCCCAAAAGGAGTACAGAATTATATCACTTGATTTAGGCACTCTGGGTTTGGAGTAAATGACTGCTATGTGATGCTGCTGCTCCTGCTGCTGCCAAGTCCCTTCAGACATGTCCAACTCTCTGCGACCCCATAGACGGCAGCCCACCAGGCTCCCCCGTCCCTGGGATTCTCCAGGCAAGAACACTGGAGTGGGTTGCCATTTCCTTCTCCAGTGCATGAAAGTGAAAAGTGAAAGTGACGTCGCTCAGTTGTGTCCGACTCTTACTGACCCCATGGACTGCAGCCTACCAGGCTCCTCCATCCATGGGATTTTCCAGACAAGAGTACTGGACTGTGTTGCCATTGCCTTCTCCACTATGTGATGAGAGGAGGGGAAAAGAGAAACTAGGTTCAGACAGAATATCGTCAACAGCAGTTCAGTCCTGCAAGGAAATCCAACCAGTCCATCCTAAAAGGAGATCAGCCCTGAGTGTTCATTGGAAGGACTGATGTTGAAGCTGAAACTCCAATACATTGGCCACCTGATGAGAAGAGCTGACTCATTTGAAAAGACCCTGATACTGGGAAAGATGGACAGCAGGAGGAGAAGGGGACGACAAAGGATGAGATGGTTGGATGGCATCACCGACTCAATGGACACGAGTTTGGGTAAACTCCAGGAGTTGGTGATGGACAGGGAGGCCTGGTGTGCTGTGGCCCATGGGGTCACAGAGAGTCAGACATGACACAGTGACTGAACTGAATATGCTGAAATCTGCTAATACTGTTTTAGGATATTTGCATTTATTAGGATTGATTTTTAATTTTTGTGTTTGTGCTTTTGTCACATTTGGGGAATCAAAAAATAATAAAACAAAAATTTGCTACCCTTTAAAATGTTTATTTTTGGCTGTCCTGGACCTTAGATGCCGCACAGGTTTTTCTCTAGTCGCAGTGAGTGGGGCTACTCACCTGTTTCAGTGTGCTGGCTCATTGTCGTGGCTTCTCTTGTTGTGGAGCACAGGCTCTCGGGTGCAGGGTCTTCAGTAGTTGCAGGTCCCAGGCTTTAAGGCACAGGCTCAATAATTCTGGCACACAGCTCAGTTGCTCCATGGCATGTGGGATCTTCCCAGATCGGGGATTGAATGGGCATCCCCTGCATTGGCAGGTGGATTCTTCACCACTGAGCCACCACAGAAGCCCAATTTGCTACCCTTTTTGATGATCTGGAATAGTTCTAATTATACTGCAATATGTCTTAAGTTTTTAAAAGAATACTATAAAAAACATTCTGAGGACAATTAAGGGACATTTAAATATGAACTGGATATTTGATGCTTTTCATGACTTTTGTGTGGAAACTGTGATAATGCCAGACAGTCTTCATCTGAGAAGATGCATGCTGAAGTATTTAGGGGTGAAGTGTCAGAATGTCTGAGTTGAAAATGATCAGCAAAAAAGAAAATATGTTCTTATATAAAGATGTCAAATATGGCAAAATCATTACCAAATCTAGGAGGAAGTTAGAAAGTTGTTCATGGTATTATTTTAAGACTTTTTAAAAGTTTAAATTTTAACACTTTCATGACAAAAACTCAAGAGAAAACACATAGTAACTATGGGGTTTTTGAAGCTTTAACAGACTAACTGGACTTCGCTTTGCAGCAAGAAGATCTTTAATAACCTTCTAAACTCTATGTGCTGTGTTTCATCGCTCAATCATGTCTCTTTGTGATCCCATGAACTGTAGCCCGCCAGGCTCCTCTGACCATGGGGTGCTCCAGGTTAAGAATACTGGAGTAGGTTGCCATGCCCTCCTCCAGGGGGTCTTTCCAACCCTGGGATAGAACCCGGGAATCCCGCATTGCAGGCAGATTCTTTACCATCTGAGCCACCAGGGAAGCCCAAGCATATTTGCAGTGGGAAGCCTATCCCTTCTCCAGGGGAACTTCCCAAGCCAGGAATCGAACCGGGGTCTTCTGATTGCAAGTGAATTCCTTACCAGCTGAACTACCAACTACCAAATTCTGCTATTCTTATGGTCTACTGAGGTTCCATATCAATAACCTCAGATACGTAGATGACACCACCCTTATGGCAGAAAGTGAAGAGGGACTGAAGAGCCTCTTGATGAAAGTGAAAAAGGAGAGTGAAAAAGCTGGCTTAAAAGTCAACATTCAAAAAACTAAGATCATGGCATCCAGTCCCATCATTTCATGGCAAATAGATGGGGAAACAGTGAAAACAGTAGCTAACTTTATTTTTCTGGGCTCCAAAATCACTGCAGATGGTGACTGCAGCCATGAAATTAAAAGACACTTACTCCTTGGAAGCAAAGTTATGACCAACCTAGACATCATATTAAAGAGCAGAGACATTACTTTGTCAACAAAGGTCCATCTAGTCAAGGCTATGGTTTTTCCAGTGGTCACATATGGAAGTGAGAGTTGGACTATAAAGCAAGCTGAGAGCAGAATTGATGCTTTTGAACTGTGGTGTTGGAGAAGCCTCTTGAGAGTGCCTTGGACTGCAAGGAGATCCAACCAGTCCATCCTAAAGGAGATCAGTCCTGGGTGTTCATTGGAAGGACTGATGCTGAAGCTGAAACTCCAATACTTCGGCCACCTGATGCAAAGAGCTGACTCATTGGAAAAGACTGATGCTGGGAAAGATTGAAGGTGGGAGGAGAAGGGAACAACAGAGGATGAGATGGTTGGATGGCATCACCGACTCAATGGACATGGGTTTGAGTAAACTCTGGGAATTGGTGATGGACAGGGAGGCCTGGTGAGCTGCGGTTCATGGGGTCACAAAGGGTTGGACACGACTGAGTGACTGAACTGAAGTGAACCAAACTCATAATACTGCAACCCCTGCAATCCTGGAGGGTACACAGAGGTGGGTATCCCAGAGTAAATTCTAGTTCTCTGGGTATCAGACCAGTGGAGAAAGGATACAGCTACGTAAGTGCCTGGTACAATCAGTGACAAGTATTTTCATTTGATACTCATGAATAACTGGGCTTTCAGATGAGTAAAAATTTTAGATGAGTAGTTCAAGGGAGTAATTTAATACATGTAGAATGTAATGTCATTAGCTTTAAACTCCCTCTTTCCTCTTCCCCATGTGGATGAACACAATGAAGAATCTAATACTTTCAAACCTGAAATTGGGACACTTAAATTCCACTGTAAGGATAGCCCTCAATTTCCTAATTTTGTGGTATCTGTAGAGATTTACAAATGGGTGGAAAGGGGGAGAGAGAGAGAGACTGTCATTAAGAACAAAGTTTGGAGGACTTTCCTGGTGGTCCAGTGGTTAAGAGGCTGCACTTTCAATGCCTCCAATGCAGCAAGTACAAGTTCTATCCCTGGTTGGGGAACTAAGATCCTAACGTGCATGTTGGCATGGTGAAAAACAACAACAAAAACCCACAAAGTTTTGAGCAAATTGTACTGATTTATTTACAACTGTAATTTATAAAGAGTAACACAAACATCTTTACATTAATATTATGAAAAAAGTCCCATGGCTGAAATGGGCAAAAAATGAGACTTCAGGACATTTCTAAAAGGGGCACCAAAAGAAAGGGGGAAATGCAATACAACAGTCGTGGGGAGTTATAAATATCAAGTATTGTACCAGGTGCAGTTTCATGCAAATGTCTTCAACCACTCAAACTGTTTTTATTTAGATACGAGAATAAAATATCTTGAACTATGTTGCCTTTTACTCATGTGATTTCCTTTTAAGTAAATTAAAATAACTGGCTGTAAACAGAATACATCTGAATATTTCTATCAACCCCTAGAGATAATCCATGACATTTTAGGACATGGCGGGTTGTGAGGATTTGTTACTTCCCAAACAGATTTTTGTAAGCAGTCATTCCATGGCCCCAAATGTGTTCCTGGATTTCTTTCACCAAATGTGTCTAACACAAACCTCAATGAATTAAACTGAGAAAGCTGCAAAATAAAGCAGACCACTTGCAGTTTTGTCATATTAAGAGAATAAAAATAATTTCAAACCACTAGAACTTTAATAAGAAAACAAAAACCAAGAGAAAAGTATTTCATGAAGTGATGATAAAAACTAGTTTATACAGCTCTCCGATCATCTAGCTTTTCTTTAAGTCAGTATTAGTGTGGTCACAGACATAATCTCACAGAAGATAAATCCATGTGTGCTCAGTACTTGTTTTGAAATATCCTAAATCAAATATTCCTCTTGTAATAGAGACCAATGACACTTCTAAAGATACAATTTTGTCCCCCAAGTGTTAATTTTAATCGTAACATGCCTACCTACTTATTATAATGCTTTTAACTGCTCCTTAGATACAATTACGATGAAGTTTAGTATCTAAAGCACTCAGTGTTAAGATTATTAGCTAATGGTACAAAGATGACTCAGAAAGTGACGTTTCAACATTTTACTAGCTGGTCTGAATTTGAGTTGGCTGGAATCTTCATCCATTTTATTAAAAAGATTTCACTCTTTTTAAGAAGAGAAACGGCAAGCTAATTATTGATCTATATAATACTTTTTAGTTTTTGATACTGCTCAGTGGGTAAAACTAAATGCAGCAATTAAAGGGGTCTCTTCAGTGAATTCTATCTCTAATTTTCAGTGAAGACATTGCAAATACACATGTGTATGGTTGTTTTTAAATCTGAAACTGATGCATGTTCTCTTAAAACAGCTCT